TCACGCTTGTTTTGCAGTCTAATGTGCCTCCTGTGAGCTGTGAACTTTGTAGAGGGAAAACCTTCCGATGGAGTATCTTATAAGGACAATGCAAGTGAACTGGCTGTTTCTAGATCGTTAAAGCTGATGGTTTTCACCCAGTAGGATCTTGAATTTTCCATTTTCTGAAATCAGTGGAAGCTTTTGGGTCTTATCTGAAAGTTTGCCCCTTAGTGTATGTCTCCCAACTCCACTCACCTTTTTCAGTAGGTACCAGGGCATGGCTCTTGTCAAACCAGCTGGGTTTCTTTCATGATCACAAAGGGTCTAGCAGAGAGCCAAGTAAGCTTCTAGTGGTAAGGATGGCTCTCCGTAGGCCCTCAGGTTTGCTCTTCATCTGCAAGAGCAGGTAAACTTGGTGGCGCCTAGCTTGTGGCTTCCCACCCAGCAGACGTAATCACGGCAAACAACTGCTTAGGACAGGTCACAACTAAAAGCCCACCGTGAAAGCATCTCGTACACGGGTGGCATCCCAAAACTAGTCTCGACTGCAGTCGGTCAGGATATCATAGCTTGCCCTGTGTCTGGGCTTTTTTTTCCCCCCCTACTGAGTAGGGAGGGTCATGGTTGCACTCATCTCCCCTAACTATGCCAGATGTAGAGCTTAGAGGGAATTACAGCTTGGCTCAATCTTAAGAATGCTCAAAGGGTGTCTTTTGGGACAGTTCCCCTGAGAAAATCTGAGAATGGCCTGATGAACAGAGCAAAAGACAGAATTTGTCCTGATAATGTTCTGTGAAAGAGACCAGGGTAACACTCACAAAGTGTACATACAGTGAGTTAAAATTTATTTCAAAGAAAACACCTTTTATTATTTTATATACGTGCTAAATCAAAGGAGCAACTCTGGAACTGGGTTAAAATTAATACAAAATCTAAAATAATCACAGCTTGTGATTTCTCTGTATGATACGTAATCACTTTGCTACAGTGCACATGACATAATCTGAAACATTACCCATTCATTGGAGGGAAAAAGACACATCAGGATTAAGATTGGAAGAAAGGGGACAGTAGTGTTATATGACTCCCTGAATGCCAGGCTAGCAGTTGCATGTGTCCTGTGGAATAAAGGAATTGACCTCTTTGGCCACCGTGTTATTGCATAACGTAAAAGCTCTCCGCTTCAGATCCACACCAAGATCTATCCCTCCTCCGGTTCCTCCCTGCTATTCTCAGTTGCCCCCCCTTGCTGCACACTCTTTAGGCTTGACTAAACCCATCCATCTGCGGAAGATGGAGGTGTCAGGATCAGGTCTTCACCACGTTTGTTGTGTAGGGCAGCGCACCGTATAACTATTAAGGTATTAGGTCAGCAAGTGAGGTCCCCTCTCCTGCTTGGTCCCGTAACCCGCACAGAAGTAGGATTGCTCCAAACGAGAGAAATGTGGCTTCAGGAACGCCACGTCTGTGCAATACGTAAGACAAAGGAAAAGTTCCAGCCACGCTTGAAGCTAATTCCAGGAAGCTGCAATTCCAAGGACAAAGGATTTCACTGAATTGTAGCAATAACAGATGTCCTTCACTGAAATGAAGATAAACGGGAAGCCTACATGGCACTCTAGCGCAAAGCTCGTGGAACGAAGGAGACTTCGTTTGTAGAAATCTTCCACAGTCAAGTCAGTATCCAACAGCAGCTGGAGAACCCAGATTTCCTACTCCATCCACTGCGTCCATGCAATTCCTAGGCAGTGACTTGGACAAAGTGCCCTGTTTCAAGGAGCTGAGCAGGGGGAGAGGGGAAAGGTCTCCGTGGTGCTCAAACCAAGGGCAGCCCATCTGACTAATTAGCATGCAGACCAACTGCAGAGCCTTTTTTGCAACCTTTCTTGGTAAGAGCTGGGGAAAGGATACAAGATTCCTTTTCTAGATTCCTCCTCTCCCTTCTGTCCAATTTCGACTCGCAAGCAAAGCATTTCTTAAATTCCTTATCACTGCAGTTCCTCCTACACATTTTTTTAAGACTCCCAGAGCACTGTTTCAACACTTACATGGTAAAAAACCCAAATCTGGAGCTAAAAGCAGATTTGGAATCCAAAGCATATTCACCTCAGTCAGCTTGCCTCCACTGCTACCCCAAAGATGGAGATGCTTGGTCACTCTCGGTGCAAATGCAAGCCTATTCCTTTCTCGAAGGAGGTGCCACTTCCTTCCCCTAGCCCTGGCTGCGTTGTGACGTGCGTGCGATGCTTGGTCACTCTCGGTGCAAATGCAAGCCTATTCCTTGCTCGAAGGAGGTGCCACTTCCTTCCCCTTGCTACCTACCTTGGCCTTGGCTGCGTTGTGTCGTGCGTGCCCATGTGAAATGACAAACTGCTTGTCATGTCTCAAAATTCTTCTGCACGTGCCTTCCAGAAAGCTACCGCCCATCATCGGAGAGCAGCCAGTGCACCTGGCTCCGTTTGGGATGGCTGATTCGGCAGCACTACACTCCCCCCGGGAAACCTAGCAGCACCTTGTCTTTGAGTAACAGGCACCACAGTCTTGAGAAGTGACAAGAAAGAGTTCTGCCAAAGGCACACGGATGCACAGACCTTAGTACTTCGGCAGGTGAGGACCTACCAAACTGAAGGCCTGGCGAGCAGTTACTGCCAGCAACCAGCCCCCTGAGGTCTATGTCACCGCGGCCTAGAAGACTGTTCCAAATTAATCCTACAAAAGTTATCACCCATGTTTGCAAATACTGCAAGGAAAGGGAGCGTTCCTCTTTCTGCATTGGATGGCACCTCTGAAAAGTGAGGCTGAGGGGCACTGGAGGTAGTTTATGAATAAACGGGGTCTAGACCTCCAGTTTCAGGCCTTGTACACTGGGTCCACAGCACAGCTGTGACTGTGGAGAAGCGCTGAAAGCTAACGGACTTTCCCTATGTTATGTGCAAAGTCCTGCCCTCTATTTACTCCCTGGGAACTGGAGACACGCCCTTGTCTTGTGCAAGTAGATAAAATGGTAATTTCTTTTTATCTACAGTAAAAGGCGAAGGATTTAAATCTAAGATTGTGTTCCTCATGTTACAGCTGCTTTTAGAAGCAGCCAAGCGATCCTTCTCCTGATAAGGCAAAGGGGAAGAACCCCGGCTAGTGCTGAGAGGAAGAAACTGCTTCCCACTATGGATTTCACAGGAGGGAAATTCACCCAACTGCTCCTGTTCAGAAAATAAGGTGTAAGGAACGAAGCCACGGAGAACGACCTCTCTGCTTGATTCACTCACAGGGCACCCGGCCCCCTTCAGACGCAGAGCCTGGCATAACGTAAGAGCAGACCCGGCTCTGCAGTGTGAGCTTCCTAGAAAGATGCATCAGTATCGAGAGGATGGAGAGCTGCTGAAGTAGAATGTCAGTGCGCGTGGGTGCTGAGGTTTGCATTCAGAACAGCTCAAACTTCTGTGCAGAATATCTTCTTTGTACCCTATGTATGCAGCTGCCTGGTAAAGCAGGAGGGAGGGAAGAGGAGGTAGTGCAGACTTATTTCTGATCTCTGTGTGGTGTGAACTAACTAGGAACACCAAGTCAGTTGTGTTGGCTCCGAAGGCTTTCCATCATATCTGCAGACTGATCTATGCTTCCAAAATCACAATGCTCCGCTGGAATTAAGGCACTCCTTGCTGAGCCAATTTTTCACATGGAGCTTCTCAAGCAATGCTTGTTTCTTTGGGCTAAGGAGACACAGTTCTCGATGTCTCTCTGGATAGCCTGAACTAAGAGAACAGAGGCAACAGAAGGTGCGTGTCATCAGGGATATGGAAATGTTCCTGGGCAGGCAAGTCCCAGCTGCTAATTCATGCTAGGGGAACTCTACCTGCATGTTAAAGGAAGAGGAGGGAACAGGGATCACACCCTGAGCTGCAAACCACACAAGGGAGGAGAGGAAAAAAGGACATGAAGGACAGAGATATTTGTATTCTTAAAGGTGAAGACAGGGGATTTGGGGCTCAGGTACCATCTTGGCTTGATGATCTCCTCTTTAATCCTTGCATGTAAGGAAGGAGCAGAGGTGGGCTGTGACTCGTTCTGGTTGGCCCCTGTTCCAAAGACGGGCCCCTGCACCAGCTGGAGGAGGGGGTTGTTCCTTGCCACACTTGCGGTCAGGATGGGTGCCAAAACAGCCTCTTACGGCATCACTGAGTTCTGGGAAAAGACACCTCCGGAAATTCAGGCTCAGTGGCGGCTTCCTCAGCTACCAACAGCAAGCTGCTGGCTCCCCAGCGGGATGCAAAAAGGCAGTAGTGTTCACAGAATGCTAAGCAGGGAGGAGGGAACAATATAACCTTTCCCCTCAGCCCCGCAGAAAGTTGCTCCGGCTACTGCAGCTTCCTTTGAGGGGCCTTGCCTTTCCATAGGTGTCGGAGAACTGCAAAACGGGCCTTTGTTTCAGACTGACAGTGATGCAGTGGCAAATCCCCAAGCAAACAGAATTTGTTAAAGTCCATAGGCACTTATTCTTCGGAAGGAGAATGTTAAGGCTTAAAGCCTTCCCTCGGCACAGTGCCACCCCAGCACAGCTTCTGGTGCACTTGTGTCACAGACCGGACGAACGGCACGTTGTACGGACGGCGCATGGGCTGACGGTGGCTCCTGGCACAGGGAAGAGCTTCATCCTCAAGCACATCGCGAGGAGGAGGGTGGGCTTGCCCGTTCTTCGCACACAAAGGGCGGAAAAGAAAGAACTCTGATGGCTGAACAAAACTGGTATTGCTGGGACAAGCCTTCTCCGTATACCCTGTTTCCGTTATGGCTCAATTATTGACGGCAGCAACACGTGTCCGTAGCTGAAAGCCTGCTGGCTGCTATCGGGATTGCAGGTATCGACAAAAGCAAGGGGTTTTTAGTGCTGAGACAGGGAGCTCTCTTTCGTGTTGGCTAGATTACAAGATCACTTCAGGTCTCTCCCCGTTCTTCCCCTCTTCCAATTTCCAGTACCTAAACCCCCCGACAGTAGATCTTTAGGCACACCTGCCTCAACCCTAGCTCCAGCCTTCCTTCTCGAAAGCAACCTGCAAGGCATCATTCACATCCTGCACTATGTAAGATGCCCCCACCAGGCTGGGGTCAAAGCAGAAGTCCCGATGGCCGTGGAACACTGTCTCCATCGTGCTCTCCTCCGTTTTACTGGGAGCATCGGCACTGTGGCGGTAGACCCCAGTGCAGACCAGAATCGACTCGCAACTCTCCACTGAACTGTTGCAGTCCTTCCTCAGCTCGAGGTGATCCTCGGTTTGGGAACTGCCTGCCTGCGGGCTCCTCTTCACCTCAGTCTGGACCTGGTTCTGGTGAGCTGACTTGAGGTAGTTGTTGTAGAGGTTTGCCCCATAGATATCGGACATGGGGTTATCCCTGGATAAGGTCACAGAGTGAAACAATAATGAGACGCTACCCCATGCATCTATTTCAGGCTCTGGCAGACTGGGATTAAGGCAGCACTGAAGGAGGAAGGGGTGCGAGATATTCACTAACATCAAGAGAACCACCCAAACTGGGCCAGTGAGTCCGCTTACTGGTGTGTCCTGTTAGCTGTGGTGAAGGCCACATGCTTCACAAACACCTTTCACAGGGAAAAAGACAGGTCCAAAGCACCCACAGCAGTTTCAGCCATTACTGTAATGTATTCCCTGTGATCCCAAAGTATTTGACCTAACTGGGCTAATGGTCGTACAGTTGGGTCTCTTTTTCTTTAATCCAGTCATGCGACGTGCATTCTGCATCCTACAGCAAACAGCTTTGCTAGGCTGACAGGGCCCTTCAAATTTTTAAGTGTAGGGTGCAAAAAGCTAGCAAGCCTCTGTTCCAGGATGTGAGGCTCGAGAGATACCATGGGGATTTTGGTATTCATTTTAGAAATATCCATTAAAACCCCCCACATTTAAGAGAAGTCAGTATGCAACTCCCTAGGGAGGCCAGCAGGAAAAAGAGTCTCTTACCCAACTGCATAGAGGCGTCGGATGGGAGACTTCCAGCCCTGTTTCTCTGCCTGCTGTTTTATCAAGTATTCGGCATAGCGGTAGGTGACTGTGCTGGGCTTGCCGATCAAGGCCTCGTACTTCAGCTCCCGGCCCGTCACTTTCTTGTAGATGTTCTCCAAGCAGAGGAGGAACGTGCCATGGCCAAACCTGCTCCAAAAGGGTCATCAGTATCCCCAGTCACCCCACTCGGGTAGCAGACACTCCTCGGTGAGGAGGACCATCTGCTGTAACCAGGATACCACCTAGTCTGGACACAGTATCTACCCACACGCCCCTCCAGAGGCAGTGGCCTGGCTTTGGCTTCTTGAAAGTTTTAGTCTTTGTTTCTCATGCAGTTTTCCTATTTCTGAGTCTGGCTGTATGGCATAATTAGCAGCAAAATCAGTAAAATGCTAATAAACATAGAAAAGATCATCTGCGGGACAGATGTATGAAATGGGAGAAAACAAACAAAACAAGTGCTTTTCACCTGGGCATCTTGGCTTCGGCCATCCACAGGAGATCCATGTTGCAGGCAAGGACAGGCAGGTGGGGGTATGGTATAGCCTGCAGCTCTGCCCCAGGGTTCCCGTCACTCAAGAGCACATCAATAATAAGTTGCAGGCTTGTCTCCCACCTCACCGGCTCACCAAACAGGATCACCCCTGGAAGATTTCAAGAGATGCTTGGAAACTCACAGCACACAAGTATAGAACCCACTCCCAAAAGCCATCCACTAGGAAAAACACCCCTCCGCTGGGATGCCCTGGCTGATACAACCACCACTGGAACGTGGCTGGTGCCAGGGCTCCAGTCTGCGTATCACTGCACCATGTGCGCTGCGGGTCCCAGATATCAGAGCACAGCACAGAGGAAAGTTGGCTTTGCTCTTGTTGAGCTTGTGCCTCTGAATAAGCTGCCTGTGGATATGGATGAGCCAACAGCACTTAGCTCCCATCCCAGCTGGCTTGCCTTGCTGCTATTTCTGCATGCTGCTTGTATGTAAACAAAGGCAGTTGCTTACCTTCTATAGTGGGGAAGCCAGTGGTTGGAGGAGGCTGCCAGAAAAAAACGAAGGCTGGGTTAGTAACGCAAAACCTAATGCCTTCTCCAAAACAAAACTAAAAATGCTTCCTTTGAACCTGCCAAGGCAGTCCCATAAAGAGGCAGGATGAGGCCACCTGGAATCCCGAAGAAAGATTTCCCTCACTCCCCCTTCCCAGATTGGATTTCACAAATCTTGCGTTCCTGTCGCAGAGCTGGAGGTGTCAACCAAACCATCTTACCACTCACTGCAAGAATAGCAACGAAAGCCAGGCAGGGCATGAGAGAGGAGAGGAGAAAGTCACTCCCCTTGCTGCAGAAGCCACCAAAAGAGCAGAGAGATGCTGGCTGCTCAGTATTGTCCCCAGGCTCTCGCTAGAGAAAGTCACTAGCAGCCAGCTGCTCTGTGCCTTCGCAGCCTCCACCCCGTGTCATACGCCGTGAGCCCCACCACGCCAGACCACTCGTTCTACTGATGCATCAGGAAATTACCAGCTCTTTCGGCCTCCGGCTCTGATCCACCATGTCCAACAGGGGATATGCCTTCCTCAGTGCCTCTATAGTGACCACATGCTTGAACCCCAGGCTATTTCAGACCATCAAGGAAAGTTGTGGAGACTGTTTTTTTAAAGTGATTGGGTTTTTTTAAGTTTTTAATACCATCTACAGGGTTAAGGAATACAAGTCCTAGTAACAGAGCAGTTACTTAACCTGGTGATATGTAATCTCATGGTTTTCAGTCACACTGTATGCTGTGCTTCAACCTACGGGTGGCTCTAAATGCTACAAAAAATCCTAGACTGGGATGACCTGGTTTGTGATCAGCAATCCCTGGAATTAGGCAAAGAGCAGAGGCCATCCCAAGACAGAACGGATGTGCTTTGGGAGCCCGTTAAGGCCAGGGTTCTCGTATTGGTGCAGGGTACGGAGCTGGTCGGGTTTCTTGGCGAGAAGCAGAATCAGAAAAACGCTCGGGTCAGCTCAGCCGGGGAAATGAAAATGGTGCGCGCCGATAAAGCTACACAAGTGAAGGATGAGTGGCGTTTGCTCACAGAACGCCTTGCCCTTAGCTCACCCCGCTGGCCTTGGGCAAACGTAGAGACGGGACAAGGTTTTGTACCAAACGAGGTTAAACATTAAGTACAGGGTGTGACGGTGCGCACGGGCGGAGATGTCGCAAACCCTGCAGGCTGCTCTGACCTCCTTGCAGACATGGGGTATGTCAGAGCTGCTCTGCCCTCGCCTCAGCCAGGCAACGTGCACGTGGGATTGTCATTTAGACCACTGGGACGCTCTGACTCTAATGATATTTCAGTTCCTTCACTTGCTGTCAGATTCCCACGGAAAACCATAGCTGTGAGAGAGTTGGGAGTGATCTCTAATGTGCTTTGTTGTGAAAGAATGGGAGAAGCACAATTTTATCTCAAAAGGGAGAGAGGCCCAAAGCTGATGGCGTCCTCATGGTGACATCTCACCAACAGAACCGCAATCGCAGGAGAGGTCATCAGCGTGGGAGGCCAAACACGGAATGAGGGCAGACAGGGGTGGCCAAAATGGAGAGCAACTACTGGTGGCCTGGATTTAAGCCCCTCCAAGAGGGTGCTTCCCCGAGAGAGCAGGTCTCCTTGTGCTTCTAGGAGCTGACGGAGCGAGTGTCGGGGCTAGGGGCAGGGCAGCAGCCTTGATCTGGGAAGCTGCGCGGGGCAGGCGGCAAAGGATACTTCTGGGCGTTCTCCTCCACGGGCCCCTGCCCGGCCACCAGCACGCACTTGTGGTGGAACTGGCTGAAGAGCCGCAGCGGGCTGTGGGACAGGATCACCTGCTCCGGAGACACCTGCGGGAGAGAGGAGAGGCTGAGGGGAGACCCCCTTTCTCCCCGCCGTCGGGTCGCGCCCTTTTGGGTCACATCCCTTCCCCGTGCTGCCATCCAGCTCCCTCCATCCCCT